TGAACCGTCGTGATTTGAGGAGCAAGAATCTTTGTGTGTGTCATACCACTCATCAAATTCATCATCGTCTAATTCTTTTTTCTTCATGCTACATGCGTGGCAATATGCGCTTTTTACAAGTAAGTCAACTACTTTGCCACAGTAATATCCGATAAGTGTGGTTACACCGTATAAAGATGTAAAGCCACGTTTCTTCCAGGAGCCATCTCCCGAAACTTTTAAATGATTTGCGATTCGTCCTTTATTTTCATTTTTCTCGCGTTCTTCATTCACCGCTTTCTGACATATTATTTTGAACATCTTTTCCGACGCCGCATAAATGTGCTGCACTATCTTTTGGTACGATGATTTCGTCAAGCCTTGGCACAAGTCCATAAGACCACAGAATACATTCAAGCCTTCTCGTCCAATGCCAATTAGTCTCATAACAAAAACGATCCGACGGTTTATTTCATATCCGGTATTTATTAGCGGTCCAGAATTGATTTCTCTACGACCACATCTGCACGACACAATAATTTTAAAACCTACTCCCCGATGGCCACATTCTTCAAATTTGACATTCCCTTTACACGATCTGCAGATTACAATTTCGGCAATTGCACCAAACACCGTCAAAAAGTCCACTATTCGATAATAATGAAGCGGATTTATTATGACATCTGACGTTGAAGTCGATAATTTTTTCGCGCTAGCACTCTCGTTTAAGTCCTCGTCGTCATCATTGCGTGTGTATCGATTACCGTGAAATTTACGTTTGTGCGGCCTGGAGCTTCGATCGGCCTGCATTCTTTTATGTTTCGGATAACTTGACATGATTTTCTACAATGTGAACGTGCCGAAAATTCGAACAGAACTGATCGACGACGCGAACAGCTGCGAAGCTGCTGCCCTAAACTGAGGCCCATACGTACATACAGTTCAATATCCTCAACGACACACACGGCAAAGGCTCCTAAGTATTGTTTTGAAAAGCCGTTGAACCTTTTCCAGGTAATATTTCAGGTAAGGGGATCGAGGGACAGGCGCGCGTTCGGAGCAGACCGTCACAAATACTTTGAATAGGAATTTATCCTTTTGAGAATATATTCTTGGATAGTTTATCTATCGCATTTAAGCAATAAAAAAAAAAATCGATTTTTTTGACCTTGTAAAGCAGACTACCGCCTTAAAAAAGTCTGCACTATCGACCTCGATCAAGTTCGGTAATCGGTTTAAGATCCCCTTAAGGATTAACCGCTAGGAGTCGAGGATCAATAGGAGGCGCGCGAACGCGGGACATATGCTATACGGTTCATCCGCGGCGAGTTCTCAGTTAACGGAGAATGAAATGAAACTTTCTTACCTTTAGATGTTCGAATGGGCGTCCCCTGGTGTTTCCAAATGTCGAAGGAAATGGATGATCGGTGCAACAGGCCTCTGCAGCTCCCCAGGGTGGATCGATTGTTGGTTCAGGGCCCTGCTAACAGGCAGCTCTCTCTTTCTCACTAGTACGAGTGATCACTCCCGGAATGTTCGATAGCGCCTGATTATATTGCGCGAAGTTATTGAGGAGATGGAGGAATCCACAAAATGCTCAATCGAGTTAAATTATTTAAGTGTATATTTTATAATGATTCATACCGATACATTGGCTACAAGTAGTGTATTAATTACTAATTACTCCTAGGATTAAACAATTAGAATTAACGCTTCTATATCTAGAGATAAGAGTTAACGCCTTTAAAATTGGAAAATAGAAGAACTAATGCTTTTTTATTTAGAAATTGAATTTTGCACGTGGCGCTTAAACTAGAAACGATAGATTGGAATAGAAGGAGCCGACGATTTTGAGCGCGACTGTACTGCTCGATGCGCACTACTACTCTGAGATACTCTCTTACGTCGTAGAAAATTAACCAATCACAGTCGAATATGAAAAGAATAATCGACTATGATTAGTCAATTTTCTACGACTTAAGACCCTACGACCGCTACGACTTCTATTGCAGACCCCGCATTAGGTTTTTACCTATGGTCGTCTTCGAAGTCTCCTTCCACTAATCGTGCTGCCGTTGGTGGGGAGAAGCGTCAGGTGCGTTCTATTCTAGGCTGTGTTCCAAATTTACTGCCAACACTGAAAATGCTACAGTTTACGTTACGTGCACTATAGATTTTCAGTATTGGCAGTCAATTTTGGAACACAGCCCTAGAGATACCCGTGCATTCGGGTCTGCAAGCAAGTCTGTTTAAAAAATGATTATTGGACAAAATGAAATTATTGCAGCGTGACAGAATTTTAGCTTCTATTGTTTTGATTGGTCAAATTTCAATCTTCAATCTCAATCTTCAATGCCTAGTCTGATTCCGGTCTTAGGAAATGGCGAACCAATCAAAAGTGGCATCCTGATGGCCTGTCTCTGTTAGAGGGTTTCTTCAACATCACAGACTTCTCTGTGTTTGACATATATTCTATGATTATACTGTGACAGAAAGAAGAAGTGAAATAGATATATGCGTGTTAACCTCGTATAAATATTTTGTTTTTGTGAAAAGGAAAATAATGCAAACATGTCTATGGTATTTATAATTTTATGTTTCATAATTGTAAATGTTGAATTTCAATTATATATTACTCAATCTATTTATATCTTAATTCTTAATGTCTATATTTTATTTTAAGTTCCATAGTTTGTTATTGATATTTAATACAATTTTATGTTTTTAAAACTTTACTTAAATATCACAAATAAATATCACAATTTAATAGAAATTAAGATTTATTAAGAAATGCACGGAACACACTACATGATTACGATGTCATTAGTGTTAATGTACATTAATCTTATCTTCTTAATATATAATTTGTTTTATAGCGACCTGATGATCACCGAAGGAAATGGAATCGGGAAGAATATGAAAGGATTGCACTTCAAAGACTTCAAGATGAGATTGCAGAGGAAGAATTAGGAATTCCCAAGCAGCCAGCTGTTAAAAGAGAATTGCTAAAGCAAAGAGATTATAAAGTTGATCTCGAATCTAAACTAGGAAAAAGTGTCGTTATCAATAAAAATACGCCATCATCACAAACCGGAGGGTAAACTTCACAACTCTCACTATCTTTTAAAAAATATTAAATATACAATAATTATATTATTATATATACTGCAGCTCATTAATTTCAATATATCTTCAGATTCGTTGATTTCTCTATAAAAGATGAATGTGAAGTTTTGTATAGAAATGATTCTTCTATTATAAGCGCTTTCATCACTTGCATGCATTGTATTTAGACATTATTTATGTAAAAATCTTTTAAAACTGTAGTTTTCGAAAAAAGAACCTAACAGCTGGATAGTATCTAATCCCTAGAATTAAACAACATGCAGGTGTAAGATTACAAAGTACTTGTGGTAATATCAGATATATGCCTAATGCTGTTTTGAAACTGATTTATCAATATATATATTCGCATGAGGTAAAAGTTTTATGACTTCAAGGGAGACATAAGAAGATACTATTTTAATCTTGAGTGGCGTTTTGATGGTCAAGGCAAAGTCACTTTAAATTTTTTAAATAGAACCCTCCATTTTTCATTATATACTCTTGTAGCTTACAAAATACGTTTTAAAAAATCAATTTTTGTAGCTCAAGAGTTTATTTTTTAAAACATAATAAAATTCGTTTTCATTAAGTACTTTTCAAACTGTAAGGCTTAAAAGTTTACCATTGTCCAAGGTGTCTGATAGACAGCTGAAATCTCTTGAATGTTGTTCAGGATCATGACCTTTATAACATTTGTCAAGCTCAAGGCCATATGAGGTTGTTCCTTTTATTTTTACTTTTATTGAAATATGAATATACAGGGTGTTTCCAAATTAAATCGCAAAACTTCGGGAGCGTGTAGAGGAGTAAAAAACTAAGAAAAAAAGTCCTATAGACATATGCTCGTTTTTGCTCCGTTTCAGAGAAATCGAAAAAAAATGTTTACATTTCTTGCCATATCTAGCACCGACATATTTGATTACATTTTCCACTTTCTGTTATGAATTTGTCAGTCGCTCTTTGAAAGCCTTTAACAGTAGATGAATTTTGTCTTTTGCAATATGCCGCGTACGTATTCTAATAGTGAATATGCTGATATGGTTTTTGTATACGGTTTCTGCAACGGTAATGCTTTAAAGGCGGTGCGAGAATATGCACGACGATTTCCAAACAGAAGAGTGCCAAACCGAAGAGTGTTTATGTTGACATTTAATAGATTGCGAGAGACTGGATCATTTTCAATTCGACAAGAAAACAACCGATTTCAAGCAGCGTTACGAAGAGATTTGCAGGCAGGGAATCGTATTTTACAACATTTTGACAATCATCCTGAGACCAGCGTTCGGAATGCGTCGGCTGTATTGGGAGTGTCACCACAAACAATTTGGCGAACTGTAAAAGTAAGGAGCATATGTCTATAGGACTTTTTTTCTTAGTTTTTTACTCCTCTACACGCTCCCGAAGTTTTGCCATTTAATTTGGAAACACCCTGTATATAAAACAATCTATAATTTTATTATATACTATCTAATTATTTATATACTGTCTATTAAAGTTGAATATGTATGTAATAATACAATATCGTATATTTTATATTTTTATAATGTATTTATTTTTGTGCACAGAATTTGTAATTGATCATAATTCTAACATTATTCTCATATTTTTCCATAGATACTACTGCAATGTTTGCGACTGTGTTGTCAAAGATTCAATTAATTTCTTGGACCATATCAATGGGACAAAACGTAAATTTAAATAATTCAGAAATTATAATAGAATTAAAATATTTTCTTATTTTAATTTTAATTTTTAATTTTTAATCAGATCAACGTAATCTTGGTATGTCCATGAAGATAGAGCGATCTACATTGGATCAGGTTAAGGCAAGATTTGCACAAAACAAAAAGAAACTTGAAGAAAAAAAGAAAGATTATGATTTGGAACAAAGAGTGAAGGAGCTGAAGGAAGAGGTTTGTTTAAGATTGTTCTTTAAGCATTTTTTTTCGCGTGCGCGTTGTGTAATTTTTTTACAAGATTATTTCTATTATTAGGAAGAAAAAATCAAAGAGTATAGAAAGGAGAAGCGAAAGGATAAGAAGAGGAAGATTGAGGAATTGTCCGAGGATGACGCAGGACCTTCTGATGAAATGGCCGCAATTATGGGATTCTCTGGCTTCGGCTCGAAAAAAAAGTGACAAATTGCAGTGGTCGAACGTTCATGAGCAATTACTTGAAGAAGAAAATATTCTTTGAAGAAGGTCGCGACCGAATCATATAGATATATGATTTGAAGACAAGTGAAAACAAATAGGTGACAAATAGTTTTAATTCTAAATCTTTGGAACTAAGGATACGATTTGTGAATGTTTACAATGATTTTTTATTTTTCCATCATTGTTACAAGAGTTTCGTATTTTTTTAAGATAAGTAAGAAAACTATCACATTATAGTCTCACTAACGTGAGTAACAATTAATACGAACGTGCGTAACAAATAAACGAACTCAAATTGTAATTAAGTAATTAAATAATTTAATTGTAACTAAGTAATTAAGATTAATTGAAATTAATTATTTGGGTACAAATTAAATTGGGTAATATAAATAATTTAAGTATATTTTGAAACAACTTTGTATCTTTGATGATTTTATATCTTTCAAAAATGCAGGACTTCATACTCGACTAATGCTGAAAGAGTATGCGTATGTGTAAAAATAAAATTTACGAATTAGTGCAAATAAAATTTAACATCTCTCTCTCTCTCTCTCTCTCTCTCTCTCTCTCTCTCTCGATACTTTTCTTAATTAATATTCTTGAGGCTTTCACGGGT